GCCGTTGAATAAGAAATGTTTCTTTCACAAGAAATGTATAAAATTACAGTACTGTATTAGACTTACGGTACCTAATTTACATACTGTACAGACGATAGTTAGCGTAAAAATCTCCGTAGCGTGGCGCTACGGACGGCGGGAAAGTAGTTCGGCTGCCCGATGACGTTTAACGTAATTATAGAGGGTTTTTTACTGTTTTTTACGGATACCGTCACAATTTTTTCGCAGTTTTATAGGAATCATAATTATTGGGACCGTAATTATAGGGAGGTCGACTGTACATTGTAGTAATTATATTTTAACTCTCAATCTGTGGACACTAACAATTTTTTTAGCAAGCCCATTATGAGTTTGATCAGATTCACAATGGCCAGGTAGTGAATGACAGGGTTCAACTTATTCAGATGAACCATTCTTGAAAAATGCCTGGGGTTTTTCATCCTTTCCCAATTTGATCCAGATCCTCAGAGTGGTAGGTTACCACCTTAACTGCTCAGCCACCTGGCCATCGTCTATTTTATGTGATATTGATACAGTTAAAATTGTCATTTATTAATTAAATTATGATATGTTTTAATATAATTGTTTCATGATGATGCCTGAACTCAATTTAGTGTTTTGTTTAACATATCAGTTTCTAACTTTTATCAATGAAACTTACAATAGATGATATTAATGGTATAATACTGACACAATAAGTTTGTCATTACCTCTTCTCAAGGGTTAGTTGGCAGCATCAAGTCCACCTTTCACTATATTCCAGTACTTAATTTTTGGTTGTCTTCTTATTGCATTTCTCTCCATCATTCCCTCAAATACTATCCATTATTCATTCTGAATGTTTCAATAGCTGTCTGATCATATTGTTTCTTCATTTATTTAATTTATTTGTTCTCTTCAAAACCTGCTCATTGGGTGCTTTTTCAGCCCCAAGATGTTTTCTTCATTCGTCCTCCATATTTCAAAGGCTTGTAGTTTGTTTGTTCTTTTTTCTTTAATGCCTAGGTTTCAAAACTATACAAAGTCACTCCCAAAACATAACTTTCAATGAAATTTCTGTTCACATTCATAGAGAGATATTCTGTGATGTTCACATTCCTTTTATTCTGTAGAACACTTCCTTTTCCTGTGCAATTCTCAATGTCACATCTTTATCATACCTTCATATGAGGCTTCCCAAGTAATGGAAGTTCTCATACCAAAACATATATATGCAGTATTATAGTATTTAAGTCTAATTTTTAAAAGTAATGCTGGTTTAAATAAGTTAATTTAAAAAAATTGTATAATTATATTAAAATGTAGGCTATGGAAAGATGTTACTGCAGCTTTAAAACTGTATAATGTACATCATGCAACAGAATCAAAATTTGCTTTAGAACAAAAACAACGAGAAGAAGCCAAAGAGAGATTAGCAAAAGGAACAAAGTGGGAAACTAGGGTGAGTAGTACAATAATTAACGTTTGTCATTTTGGCCGCTTAAGTGATAAAGCCATTAAATTTAAATTAAATTTATTATAGCTTAAATTTTATTAGACTGTACTATTATCATCATTACTAGTACTTAAACAAGATTAAATCATGTTTACTAAAACTTATAACAGTTGTTATTGAGTGTGGCATCCAAGAAATGTGTGTTCTTTCATGTAGGGAGGATATGCATTTTGGACATTTTGTCTGAAATACTTATCCTCCCTATATTGTAAGTGATTCTTCAGATCGTTTTTTGTCTGTTCTCTTATTTTCTATGTTTCTTGTCAGTGCACTTTTCCTATAGATGGACCTATCAAACTGGACAGCCACAGAATGACCTTGAGACACAATTTTCTTATTTGTATTTATGTTTTGATATGTATGTTCGACCCAATAGGTCTTTCCTCAGTCATAATATATAGATTCTTTTGTGGATTTTTAGGCATATGCACATATATGATTAATTTTATAATAAAAACTTCACAATATATATGCACATACATGACAAAAATTGACCAAATGAGTACATTTTACTCTTGACACACACTAGAAAAGAAAAATCTATACTATTCAATACAAAATTCTGGAAATTGATGAATACATATTGCAGCATGATTTTACATTACTGGAAATTTATAAGATATATCTCACTTACACATCTAATTTACCTTGCCTTTGGGTGTGCTTCCCAAATGCAAAGTAAATGCATATCGAAAAATAAATACATAGAGAAAAAATGTCTCTCAAGGTTATTCTGGTCTCTGGCTATCCAGTTTGATAAGCCCCTCTATAGCAGGGATCGCCAACACATAAACCCCGGTCAAACGCAAAGGTTTTGAAAGTAACCCATGAAGCTAAAGTTGAACAATTTGCTTTCACTTAAATTAATGCTTAACAATCTTAATTCGATAATTTATTCTTACAATAGTAGACTGTCTGTGCAACGTACCCATACTGTTTGTATTTATTCCAATGAACAATGCAAATGAATGTTAACGCATGGGCATATAAAAATCCTAAACTTGTTTACCTGTATTCATAGTTGCCCGCAGACTATATTTTAGCAAAAAAGTAGCCCTAAGGGATAAAAGTTTGGCCACACCTGATCTATAGGAAAAGTGCACTAGTAAGAAACAAGAGATTGTAAGTGATGTTTAAAATAGAGCATAATTGTGCTTATTTAAACATTATTTACTTTCAACAAAATTAATAATGTTTTAAAATTTAATATTTATAAAATTATAAAACTATATATGATTATCACAGAATATATAAATTTGAGAATATATAAATATTATAAGATGCTTCTTGTCTAGCTTAGAATATACTTGTGAGCACTGTGACAGGCTCTTTATTCCTAGATTTATTACACTGTCTTGGACACAAGACCAGCCTTATAACATCAATTTATATTCCAAAAAAGCCATTTTTTCGGAAAATAAATTGACATTCTAAGTCTGGTCTTGTGACTAAGACAGTGTAATAAATCTAGGAATAAAGAGCCTATCTTAGTACTCACTAGTATATATAAATATATTAATTCAGATGGAACAATAGATATATAATAATAATTATAATTTTAATGGAAATAATCATAATATTTATAACTATGATATTGCCGATGTCTGAAAATATTTAAATATTTGTTCTGATTTTATTGTTCTTTTTGATATTAATATTGTACTGTGAACTATTTTATGCAGTTTTTTTAAATTTGTTTACCTAAAAAAATAATAATAAATTATTTTTCTTTGTTAGGTATTTCACGAAATAGGAGAAAATTGGGTGTACGATGAACCACTAATAAAACGAATTAATAGGGAATCATTAAAATAATAGATATATGAACTGTGAAATATTGTAAGGAACTAGTCATTGTAAGAGCGGAGTACAAATGTGAATGTATGTAAAGAAATTAAATTATAATCACCACTCTTACAATATTGCAAACAGCACCACAAATTTACGAATGAGTGAGAAGATATTATATTAATGGAAGTTATATTCTAATAATAATTTCAAGAACATGGTTATGATTTTGGTTTATAGCATAGCTATAATTTTTTGGATGTCATATGAATTTGTGCACTATATAAACATTTCCATTATTCTCTTTCCTTCGTGAGATTTTTTTCATTCAATTAAATAACACCAAAAATACAATATCAAGTATTTTATTAGTATTTACAAATTTGTAATTTAAATATAGAAAATTTAAGTTAGTAAAGAAAAATCTTCTTATCAAAAGATATAAATATTAAATGTAAAGTTATAAAATTGTAAAGAATAATATATGTATATAGTAAATACATATAGAATGAAAAAACTTAGTTATCAAATTATATAATGATTCTTCATAGCAATATATATTTAATGAAAAGGGTGCTACAATGGAAGAAAGTTTCTTGAAATTTTTGAATTCTTGGCTCACTTAAATATAACAAATTAATTTTTTCAACCTTTAAAAAATGTTTAAAAATTGATTAAAATTCTTTAAACTAAATTTATCTGTAATGAAAAATTTGTTGGTGAAATCCCAGGAGATTGTGTATCATTAAAGAATGATCTATATCATTTAGATATAATGTAATGATATTAAGTTGAAAGTTGATATAAAATATATTGATAATATTGTATAAAGCTGGTTTTTTAATTAAATGTTCTGTCTTAACTGTTCAGAGTTTTGTATCTGTACAGATTTTCATACAGTAAATGTAATTTAAAAAATTCCCAAGATATAATTTTTTTTTCATGTATACTTTTTGAGTTGTAGTAAACTTTTTCACATTTGATATTTTAATTTGTGTATTTTGAATTTTTAATATATTTTTCATTCATTTGTTAAATATTTAATATTGATAATAACTAGAATAATAATAAAACATTTTATTATTTTACGTGAATATAAAATATATCTACTTATTATTACTATTTAAACTTGAAGCAATAAACTATTTTAAGTTTGATATTGTTGTTACTTTGATACATTGTTGATAATTAGATAGTTTTGCTTTTCTTATTTTAAATAATTGTAATTTAGAATACAAAAGAAAAAAAATCAAAAAGTCAGATTTTGTTTGAAGATTAATGTTTTGCATATCTTAATTTATATTTGTTAGATTTTATACCTATTCATTGTAAAGATTTGATTTTAAAAATATTTCTACAAAAATTCTGTGAATTATTATATAATGGCTGGAAATTTTGAATGTAAAATACCACAAATGAGGAAATAGTGCACTTGAAGTAAAGAAATATTAATAACTCATACTGACATGATTGTAGCAACAAACTGTCACAAATGTAGCTTTAAAATGAGCAGGGAGGAATTGTTTGTTTGAGTTAACAGTAAATAATTCAATTGCAAGTTATGGATATACATGGATAAACTTTAAAAATGGCATAGCCTTGTATTTCAAGTGTAGTTTACCCCTCTTCAATCTCTGCAATTTTGATATTAAAAGTTGCCAATAGATTCTAGGTTCAAAAATAAACTTAAAATCCTCTATAAAGTATTTCAAAATCCACTTTGCTTTTGATATATGGACCTCCAAAAAAGAACTTTTCAAATTCCCTACTTTGAGTTGGGAATTTAAGTAATTTTATACTTTTTTCTGCTTCTGTCAACTGATTGAGGTAAGTAAATGTTGCCCAAGTAGGCCCTATTATAATAATTGTAAAAAAAGATTTATCCACTTGTAAGATTTTGCATTATCCTTCTGTTTCATAGTAAAAAAAAAAATGGTTGAATAGCAAGAATTTATCAATAAAAATTTGAATAACATTTCATTTTTTACAAAATTAAACAGAATAATTCACAACAACTGCTCAAAATGTCCATAGATGTGGATGCACAATTGAATACAACAAACCTGAAAATTGCTCACAGCTAACATGTATTCAGAAAAACAATTTTCAACATTTAAAATAACAAGCTTCAGCTTGTATTTGTTGGTAACACAATATTCGAAAATAAACAGCGGTATGTTTTTGGTAAGAGGTTTAAAATTGATTTCCAATATGATTTCTTGGCATGCTATATTCTTAAATGATTTTAGGCTTATTTTCAGCCTAGAATCTATTCCTAAAATATTGGCATCAATTGACAACCCTGTATATATTTGCCAGAATTTGAAGAATAGCAAAAGAAATATTAATTTTGAATGCCTAGTTTTCATTTAAAAAGTTGTTTTTAGCATTATATTTAGCATTACCTATGTTAATCTTAAAGTTCTAGCATTCATCCTTAGTATTAAAAATACAGTATTAATTATGTGTGTTCAATACATGCCATACAAAATGCCTAATATTTTAAAAAATATATTTTTAATATTGAATAGTTCTATAAATTAAAAATTCTTATTGTGCTTTGTATTATTCAGCTTTTATTTTATGAATCTGTTATGTGATTTAATTGTTAAATAAATTCAATTTAACATTATGAAATTATATTCATTCTGAGATTACTAATAGACAATAATGCATAATAATAATTGAATGCATTAATGATAATTGATATGTGGACAATTTAAACTAAGTTACAGATGAACCAATGCCCCATCCACTTCTAGATAATGACAGAATGGGTGCCAAAAAAAGTATTTTGTATATCTGGTGACCTAGTTTAAGAGATGTGGTGTATGAAAAATATATTTTTCTCTGGCTAAACAGCTTGAACTTGCATTCTGGATAATTTATAATTATATTAAGATATTTGAATACTTTAATCATTTTTAAATATATTTTATTTGCAATTTCTGATATAATTTTAATTAATTTCAATATTTAAAATTTTACTCAAATTTTAATTTTGCTTCTTATTTATTGAAATAATAAATTTTACTCTTCAGAACTGTCTTCCGATTCAAGAGAAGACCAGTCACTTTCGGGTTCTACATCTTTGATGTAATAAAGTACAGCTCTTGGTATAATTCTTTCTTTGAAATATTTCCCGATTTCAAAGTCATAAGTTAGAAATTCCCTGATTTCATGATCGTTGCTTTCTTCAATATGGCCGAAGATGCCGAAGAAGTTGAAAAATGATTGCTTCTCTGTCGCTGTTTCGTCAGTAACGTTTTCTCCATCATTTTCCTTACAGACGGGTTTTATTGTTTTATTGAAATTTTCATTCCACTCAATGATACAGCCTGTACATTTTACGATTTCGGGACCTTCGAAATAATAAGGGTAAGTGGGATTCAAACAGCATTTCACTTCGTACTCTTTCGTTAAAATTGTGTTTCTGAAATACTTATTCGGTTTAAAATGAAATTCCAGAACGAAATCTCTGCAGTTAGCTGCTTTGTATTTTAAACAGATATCTTTCAGATACATTAAGACATCTTTATCATCTTCTTCTATCATACTTTTTATACCCGAATTTAAAAGAACTTTAAGCCAAAAATCCGGAATTCCTTGAACAGTTGCTTCTTCTGGATCTTCATTTTCAGTGCATTTTACATTTTTGTTCAACACATTCGTATTGCTATTAACAATTTCCTTTCTCATTTTAAAGAGCGGATCTGTAATGCCAGCATATTTTAGATCCAAGTCATGAGATTCATCAAAGTATTTCACTTCTTGGTGAAAGTATTCCAGTTGTAACTTTCGAAGCTCTTCGATTCTTTCCATGACTTCCATATTGACATTTGTAAGCTTAGGGAACAAGATGCCATTTTCTATCAAAGCTTCCGCATCTCCTAACGGTTCAGTTTTCTTTTCAGAAAGATGCTTTTTCAAATTATCCCAATCTTCAATTTTTAACGTTGATTGATCCATTTTTTTTTTGGATACAAATTAACCTGAAAAATGTTCTTTCGACTTGATGCAGGAAAGCGATTATTGTAAAGTATTATAATTGTTAATGTAGTATATTTAAGTAATTGTTACTTTAATAATTATGTTAAAATGAAGTATAAAAATACTTAAAAAATATAGAAAATTCTACGCGGGTTAGTGGTTAGCCAATGGGCTAGTCACATAGAGTTTTCTTCACGTTTTTAACACTTAAACAGGACCAGTTTCTCATAAAAGACCTCCCGGGAGGCATTCCTTCTAGGCGGATCGGCTGTGTCACATTGTCTATACGAGGAAAACCATGAGCATACAAAATAAATGCCTAAGTAAACTGGAAGATTAAATGTGGTTAATGATTTGATATTGATAATTTTAATAATGTTTAAATAATAAAACTAAAACTATTAGTCAAGAAAATTTATGATGGTGATAAATAATAATGACTTTGGAAACTGGATGGCCGAGCAGTCAAGGTGGTGACCTACTGGGATCGAATCCGGACTGGTCGAAAAAATTCCCAGGAATTTTTCGGGGGGTGATCCGACTGGACCACCCAGCCGCCCCATTATGGGCCTAGTCGAACCCATAACGGGCTTGCTAAAGAGGCTCTTTTAGTTCTCACTAGGTGGAAAAAGCAAAATACGATTTACATTTACATTATTGTTTAAATTAAACTCTACATATTGCATACAATTATTCGTTATTGTTATCTTAAACAACTAACCTGGACAAGTGTCAGTGAATACTTATGAAACGATCTTTTCCATAAATATTAAATACATAACCCTTTGGCATCTGTAAAAAACTATATACAGTAGTTTATAGAATTTTCCATTGCAAGGTTATCAACAAATCATGTCTTTCAACTTCAGACTAACTAGTGTGTAGATTTCATTATATATATATAAATGAGAATGTTTGTTTGTTCTCTATACACTCCCAGGCCGTTTGACCAATTGCTACGAAACTCAGCAGTTACTTTTACATACCCCTAACTTAGATCATGTCGTACATCCTACCCCAAAATATCTATTGGATTTCTGTAAATCAATTAAATTCTATCTACATTCAATTTGCTGATTTACACATAATGCCATCTATTGGTCTTCACATCCTGTCTTTCTTCCGTAACCTCAGGAACAAAACAATCTATGGGCCGAGAAGCATTAAAAAGTCGATTCTACCCGTAAAGACTGTTTTGTTCCTGAGGCTATGGAAGAAAGACGGGATAGGAAGACTTGTTGTTTCTTCAGAATTGTGAATATTTTGAAATAAATTATAAGTTCTATTGGAGGATCTTGGGAGACACGGTTTAACACGTCTAGAATAAAGTTTCTAATTCGTTTTAAATGGAAAAATAAATCATTCTCAAGAGGGATGTTAAGTCACTCAATAGATCTCATTATCTTTTTCGTATATTTCAGAGCTTATACATAATAAGAACTCTCTTCCTAGTTCTTATCACGTATGAGTTTTTATCTGTAAAATTCAGACACCTTAATTTAAGAAAAGTTTAATTTTATTAAAATATTGGTAGATAAAAGGGTGTTTACTGTACTTCGAGTCTATTGTTTTTTCGGTTTGAATAATCATCATAAAATCGAAATTTTTATTCACGAAACACGAGAATACATATTACTGTTAACACGAATGTATATGCAAGGAATGTTTCGCGATTCAGCGACGGAGAGGCGGAAAAATCAAGAAATTCACTGAAAAATCCATTGAATTTCGTGGCGATGCCACAATAAAACTCCGACAATTCGTTGAGAGCGGTCGATTTATTGTTATTGCGAACGGTTGGATTTTTGGTTCGTGCGATTTAAAGTCATTGATTTCAAGCGTTTTTCTGAGTTTTTCATCATTTGCAGTGATTTTATCGGTAAGTTCAGACTACGAACTTTATAAATTTGGGTATTTTTGATTATTGTTAAGCCGAATATCACAATTAGTGGCAATGATTTTCCGACAAACAAAGCGCCATTTAGATAACAATTGATCGGTTGGTCACGGAGACGACGAATGGGGTCTTTCCACTTATTTTAGAAGATATTTTTCACCTTTTTTATTGTTAATTTTCGTTCAGACCAAATTCAATCGAATTGTTAAAGCAAAATGGGCATTAATAAATACATTAAATTGTTATTTCTCGCTATGGTTTATATACACATTATATCTCATATGAAATTCACACAGCTATACTCTATACTTTGATTAATGAGAATTTCTTTATTTTCACAAATATTTTGTGTTCTAGCAATCGATAATTTGTATAAACCGATTTTTTAAATTATATATCGAACATTAAAATCTTTAGAAAGATTAAAATTACCATACGTAATAATTAAAGATTAGACCATAATATTCATTTCTCACTTTGAAAATTTCATTATAATTAAAAACGATCGTTTTCTATCATAAATCTTGATTGCATTTGAACATAATAAATTATATATTTCTTACTTATAATTTAGATGAAATTAAGACAATAGGAATATTTCTTAATTAATGCAAGTTCTGTTTTCACAACATTCGCTCATTTTTCTTTGCAGAATGGATAATTTCAAAGAATTGAAGAAGTGGCACACCTCGGACCATGCCCAGAGTCGGTAGATTAACTGGTCTTTCGACTAATAGTTCAAACTTAGCTAGAGACAATATTTGCCGCTAGTCGGCGCCACTGTTAGCAGGAGATNATGAAATTGAACTCGAAGGTTATATATCTTTCAATAAAAAGAAAACATTCGACCTCACAGGGATTCGATCTAGCGGTCTTGTAGTGATTGCAGTGCCCCTGGTGGTAACATTTGTCTCTAGTTGATTCTAGCAACGAGCGAAGATAGGAAGTCGAAAGACCAGTTAATCTACCGACTCTGACCATGCCGAACCAGAGGATGGCTCCTGGTCTTCGCCTCGTGTAATACGGGTGCTTCCGAAAGATGCGGAGGAGGAGTCGCATACACCCGACGTCAAACGGGTGGTCGTCGTAACTCCGGACGACAGCACCTCGTCTCTAGTCCATTATCTGCAGCTGCGATATCCGGAAGTTCCGGAATGGACAGTGGAGACACTGTTACGTGAGACGGGACTGGACAGAAAGGAATCCGAAGTAATGATGGAAGAATCCGTGGTGAAGCGCAAAAGGCCTTGGTGGAAAAGGTTGTTTTTCTTCTGGTAAAAATAACACTCTTTCTGCCGAGCCTTCTTGCGCGGATTTCGACTTGTGATACAGCCACCCGGAAGTTACCTTTCACCCGGCTACGACTTAATCAACCGGACTTGACTTTCCATCTCAATTTACGGACGGATTCTTCGACAACATTCGAGATTCGTTCTTCCACTTAGGTTAAAGTGCACAGAACAACGACAATGGCAACGAAACATTAAGCAGTGTTCTCGTGTTTGATAAAAGACTGTTACACTGTTAGACTGTTGTTTAAACGACTATAACTGACCAAAGCAACTTATAATATTTTGACCGGTGTTCTACTAGTAAAACATTTCACCACGGCAGGAAACCAACGTTGAACTTTAACCAAAAACACAGATTGTAATCAATATATATCAAAAGCAGAATTATAATTACTTCAACAGTTAAAATTTTACATGGAATTTTCACCATTGTATATAAATTTCTATACTTAATAAAACTTATTAAATTTCAAATTAACTGTTTTAAGTTTCGATATTTATTTAGATTAATTAAGTTAATACAGTAATAATTAGGGTTTCTCATTTCCCGGTCTTTTGCTTGTCCCGGGATCCCGGGATAAAAGTGAACTGTTTCCCGGGATCCCGGGAAATCCCGGGATAGAATTAATTATTTCTAAGGTATACAAAATATCTTGAAATCAAATGATATAATTATTTTCCATTTTTTAAAGTAATTTTAAAGTTCTGTAACCTCCAAAATCATATTAATAATGCTGTGTAAGGTCTATATGCCTATAATAAAAATTACCTTTAAATAACGTAGAAATTTTCACAAATAGAAAAAAATTAATTAAAGTTTGCTGGAAACTGCATACAACAAAAAAAAAAAAAATGTTTTGAATTGAGTTAAAAATTAAAAAAATGAACTTCTAATTTAGAAGGTAATTTTCGTTTTTTAAATAAAATATAATACAAAATATTGCAAACTTTTATAAGATTTTAAAAAGCAAAGATGGTCAATACTCCGATAACTCACTCTAATTCTTATTTTAGTAATGAAAAGTCTTGCCACCGAGAATGCCCTTTCCGATTCAATTGATGTGATTGGAATAGTGTTTAATGCATTTAAGAGAAGACAGATATTATGTGTTTTTTCACCTGTAGCCTGGAAGATTTCGAGTTCGTTTTCGAGGTTGTAATACTTCTTTTGCTCTCTAGTATTCTTCATTTGTCTACTTCGACTGCTTTAATAGAAACATCAAGCTTATAGCCCAATAATTCGTCAGTTAGTTTGTCTTTGATCATCAGGTTTATGAAGAAAAACTTCGTACTTACAGACATCGTACAACATGGTGTTACGCGTTATCGAAGCTATTGGGCATGGTTAAAAATTAAGACAGCATAAGCACAATTATTCCAGATATTACAGGTTCCAACAAGTAAAGAATTTTGAGAGTCATGACACAAATAAGCTATGTATTGATTATTGACCATTTGTGACATGCTATAATGAGCAAAAACTTAAGAAACTAATAAGTAGGTTTAAAATTGATAAATACAAATGTATTCTGACAGTTTATGAGTTAATTATGCTTTCTATTTGCAAAATTCCTCAACCTTAACACAAAATAAGAAAAAAAGTGAATTTTTAAGAAATTTGCGGGATTTCCCGGGATAAGAAAAATTTCCCGGGATATTTCCCGGGTTAAAAAAAACCGGGATCCCGGAATCCCGTTTGAGAAACCCTAGTAATAATGTTTTTAACAGTTATGACGAATGACGAAAGAGGAAAAAATGTACACGATTCATAATGAATGAAAAAAAAAATTCAAATTTAACCAACTAAAGATGGAAAAACTTGACTGAGCTTCAGTAATTTAAACAGCAATCGACGTATATATTAGCGGGGATTGCTACTTATATGTATTAACCTATAACCAGATGGTCAAGTGTCACGTTGCTGTATACCAATAAACCGATTTAATACAAAAAAACTGGTCGGTGACACAACCGACATTTTTACCATTATGCAAATTGACACGATATCATTTTCGCGATAGTCTCAGATAGTACCTGTACGTTGCTAAAGAATTTAATGTTGTGATGTATTAGACATATTGAACATTATAAGGTTACCGATACTCCGCCAATAGCCAGCGATCAGAAGCTTAACCGATGACCCCAAGTACCCATCAAGGAGTATAGTGTCTCCTCCAAATCAAGAGAGAGATCTTCAGGTAAATACCACGCGCGAACGTTTGTAAACTCTCTCTCTCGCTTAAACCTCATATGTGTAAATAGTTTATGTAATCTATAAACGGGTATTATTTTTCGTAATCGAGTCGTAAAGTACACTTCTTTCGCCCAATCTGTCTCCATCCAGAATCCGAGCGCCTCTCACCACGTGGTGCCGAAGCAATAGGGAACGCTTCAGCATTGTCACAATTTCGATAATGTATACCAGTCGACCCCCCTATAAGATATAGATACGTTCCAATTTATTAGGAATCCGATTTCTTACAAGTCGTTCCAATCACAGGCCGACACGTGTCAAGTTTACGGACTACGGCTGATTGAAAGGTTTTCTTCCATAAAATTAATCGATTCTACACTAATCCGACTAAACATTTCCAAAATACGTATATTTTTTCGTAGTTTTATAGGAATCGTAATTATAGGGACCGTAATTATAGGGGGTCGACTGTATACTGAAGTTATTGTTTACTTTATTTTACAAGACACGATAATTCAGAAAGTATCCGTAAAACTTTTAAAATTTTCTGATAAAAAGATGTTTCATAAATTATGTAAGTGAATAGTACTTTGTAATTAGGTATCGTTTTTATATAATGGGTGCTCTCTTGTGTATCCTTCGATAAATTGTCTATTGTGCGTGACAGCAAATGCTATATGGGATTTGAGTGTGCAATCTGAAGTGGAGATAACTACTGAACTCTGACAGTCAATCTCAGAAACTCTGCTGACTGACGGGCTGGCCAGGTGAAATTTTTCACAGATTTTCATATGTCTAACAGCAAAGCAAAGGAGGCACGTTTGTACACTTTAGTCTTCAGATTTATCTTCTATCGAGCATTTCTGGGACGCCATTTTTGGTCACTTCAAGTAACATTTGCAATATCTGTAAAAAAATCTGCCACAGGGTAGCATACAGTCGTCACGTGCACTCCCTCTATAAGCAGGATAACGAGGGACAGGGCCCGACATACTTCGGATAGACTATCCATGACAAATTCCAATGATTGTTCAATTGGATTTGATCTCAGATTTCTTAGTGAGGCAATTAACACTTCAACAGTCTGGGGCCTCTGCTGTCATCAATCTAAATTAATGTAGGTACAGTATTTAAATCAATCTTGAATTGGAGAAATATGAACGTTTTCATTTGAAACTATTCGAGTCTGTTTTAAGTGCTGAATTCAACTGAAACTCTAAATTGTTATTTAAACTAATTGCCGATTGCAGAGACAGAGTTAATGTTAAACGACGTTTAACAGCTGAACGGCGTCTAGACGTTGGCTAACTGAACTGCGGTTTAAAATGCGCTGCAAAGACGACGATCCTCTAATTTAGAACGCCGTCTAAACGAACCACGGCAAAACGTTGGTTATTACTTTCTATGCTGTTACTTCCTTTCAAGAATCGTTTAATCAATCAGATCATTCGTTTATGACATCACAAAAATGACGACGAATAACGTGTTCAAATCGTGTCGGAATTTTTCCGAAGAAAAAAGTGTCCTCGCAGAAATTGTAAAAAATTATCCTGCAGTAGAGAAGAAAAATTACAACAATTGTATTCTGGGGATGAAAAAAATCGCATGAGAATGAATATTCTTCGTCGTTTCTTTATCGGTCTGTTGGCAGCAAGACCTTATTCTTATTCGTTAAACAAGGTCTTATTCTTATTATAAACGTCTCTATCTCTACACAAAAACTTTTAAAATTTTTTTAATGGTAGTTTGATAGATAGCTGCATACAGTAGAGACATGAACTCGGATAAGATCACCGGCTACCCTCTTGAAGGTTACGGTGGCATAAAATCGTAATGCAATCAACAACTGCTGTTCAGTAGTTAATGGCAATCCTCTTCCATCAAGATGCTTAATTTTGTCGCTAATAAGATTTAAGATACGAACGAATCCAGATTTAGAAAATTTATACCGAATTTGAAATTTCATTTTCGGAATAGATTTTTAAAGGATTATTCCGATCTCGTATTATCCTTTCTCTGTAATTGTCGAGATGAATAATTTTCTTGATTCGTCCCGTTTACAATATTAATTAAATGAACAATATCCATTATAACATAAACTTTGCGACCAACAAATGAATAGGGCAACTACTCAAATAAAATGGTGTCTAAACCTGTTATCGAGGGAGTCTAGAAAGTAGGTCAAATAACTTGTTTCTAATCGCTGTTTAAACTGTGGCAGGAGAGAAACGCCGTCTTTGCAATGAAATTTTTCTGAACCGCGGTCAAAGTGTTTTCAATAGGAATCGTCCATAAGTTACATAACGCTATTTTTATACTTTTCAATTACCATCCAACCCTCTGTAACACTCCATAATGCCTTCTCACATACAATCTTCAAAATTACGTATACCTTGTAACCAGAAGAGAAATTAACTATAAAAAAATACTTGATATTATCAATTGACTTGATGATCGAAGGCTGGGTAGGAGATGCTTTGCTATTCGCCCAGTGAAGTGTCGGATCATCTAGTAATAATAATTTTATATATTCTTGAAAGTATCTTTTTAAGATGTCCTTACACACGGTTGTAACATTAAGCATGCGCTTAATCTTAATCTTGTTAGTATTTTGTAACTAAGTAACTAAAATATAATACATAAAGTGGCTATGATCTTAGATACAGCGCTCTTGGTGGCAACGACGAGTACTATCGACCGCCATTTTACTTTAGGTCAAAATATTGAAGTCTATACCACGTGTTGGCAGGATTTCCACTTTAGAATCTATTTTTCTTATCTAAATCTGGATTGTTTTGTTTTCCCCTAGATTTGAGATTTATACAATTAGATAAGTGATATAAATCTAGATTGTTTTATCTCAAATTTAGTTATTTTCTAGAATTTATTTAATCGTTATGAAGAAGGTATGATCTGAGTTTAAAGTAATATGTGTAGTACTTAACTCTCAATATAACAATATTTTTATAATTTAAGTACAAGCCAGGTCATGAAGGGTTTTACTCTCAGTCATATGATCGTTTATTTGTAGGGTACTGAGGTATGCCATACTCTTTTTCACTGACAATAATAAGGTATAATTATTCATTATTATTTAGGAAGACATTGTTTAGATTAATTAACACGATATTTATATCTATTTATCTTTATGAGACAGAAAGAAAAGTTATTCAATACAGGACTTAGACTTGAGGCCCTAAACTGTAACGTATAACCAGCCCTTCCCCTTTACCAAATGTTTATACGTGTAGAAATCTGAGGCCTTCTAAGCAGCAGTTTATTTAACTTATATACAAATACGGTTCATAATATTGCAAGATATATCAGAAATAAGTAATGCCAAGATAATTAAAACTATTTAGTGATAGATATCTGTTAAGAATTTTGCTTTATCAAAAGAAAAGCTTTTATTGTATCAAATACTGTCAAATCAAGAGTTAATTATCTATAAATCAAAGGTCAAAAGTAGATTAGAATTTAGGAAATGTAATGATGATACAGAATTTTTATTTTACATTAATTTTCTAAGTGTTAAAAGTGATACAGACATACAATATGATATCTAATTATGCTATATAGAGACTCATATGAGACCCTTCATATGATACTTTATGTATATAAAAGGATTGATTAATTTTCTTTTGATATAAAGAAATTATTATTATTATTTTTTTCCAATAAAATAGTTTTGAAACTCAAAAATAATTGAAATTTCCTCCATTTTGAGATCATTCTTTTTTTTAATATAAACGGAAATACGTCATAGTTGATATATACTTCCCGGGAAAAAAATGTATATAACGGAATTTATATATTTTAAGGAAATAATTAAAAATTTTTATTTTACATATAAAAATAATAACGATGCCGATATATTTTGAAAGAAAATACGTTGCTTATTACAAAAAAGATAAAAAAAAAAAACAAATATAATTATAATTCCTAAACTCGATGGCAGAGCACGTGACTTGATGCGGAATTACTTCCGTTGTTATGACAACGAGGTGATTGAAAGGAAGAAGGAATGGAAGAAATACGTTAAGGTTGGGTGTGTACCGGAAAGTTGAAAAAAAAACTTATAAAGAAAGGAGTACAAAGCGGAATAAGTTGTTCTGTAAGTTAATAAACAAATCCGATCATGTTTAATGCATAAAATAGAAATTAATTTGTACATTTAAGCGGAAAATGATGATTTTTTCTTAACCCTAACATTAGGTTTAAATTACATTTAATATTTACCGCGAAATTCTGTTATATCCTGTATAAAGTGTGGAAGTTTGTATACATTAATTTCCATTTAGGGTGAAAAGTAAGGTGTTAGAGGAGTTACCTTAAATGTAGCTTACAAGCCTTGCTTTGTAGGTTAACCTGTTCTGTATTTTTTTTTATCTGTTTAGGAAGCATGAGGTTGAGATTTATGCCTATAAAGTGTTTTTAATAGATAATTAAGCTATATTAATGAATTTCATTATTACTTGATTAATAGAATTCCTGTAAAGTAATGCTGGCTGTCGACAAATGTGTTGGAATTTAGTTAAGAAGCATTCTTTTAGTTTTAGAATATTTGGTATGTTCCATAATTGGCTCTTATATATTCGAGTTTAGTTATTTTATATTCTTCTTTGTTTTAACTTTTTCCCATGTTTATATTGGGTCGTCATTCCCACTTTTCTCTATCCAGGACATCCTCTCTCCTCCATCCTTCTCCTAAATCCTCTTCGTCTTGGCTTTGGTCTTCCCTATTTCCTCCTTCCTGTTGCTTCCAACTTTCTGACCTTGCTTCTCTCGTGCCCAAATCGTCTTAATTTACTTTCCTGCAACTTCTTACTTACGGGACCCACCCTTGACTGTTCCTCTTATGTAATCATTCCTAATTCTGTCCTCTGTCCTACCTCAATCTGTCTTGACATTCTTGTCTCTACTGTCTGTTCTACTTCTTTTCCTGGGCTACAAGAGCCCAGGAAAAGAAGACAGAGACTTGTAATTACCACTCTCTTAGGGTGCAACTATGCAGATGTGAGCAAGTGAGAATATATGGCGAGAAGAGGCAAGACGCAATAAATATCAAACCCTGTCAGATATGTGTAAGAACCAGAAATTTGCTCTCGCCAGCAATATTTCTCACTTCTTGCTTGTGCATGGTTTTCCTTTGCAAGAACTATTCCACTCGCAATCTCTCGCTCACTACTAAATTCGCGTCTGCATAGTCACACTCTTATCATTGCAAGTTTTACCATAGTTTTGTGTAATCTTCCTTTCATTTTGCAATAATTGTTTTGTATTAAGTGTTTAAAAATTAATTTTTAACTCATTCATAATGTTATGAATTTATTCACGATAGTGATATCAAAAATCATCCATGATTTCTGATATTAGTAGCTGGTAAATATCATTGAGAATTTGATAAGATAGTATTGAAATGAATTTGACATGCTTTTAGTTATATGCTTTTGATCATAAGTTTTTAAAATTTATTATAGTTTTTATGACTGTTTTCTACATAGTCTAGACACAAGAATGTGAAATTTATTTTAATCAATATTACATTTAGATATATTATTTTGTATTGTATTTCTTCTGGTTTAGTATTTTATTTAAAAATATAATATATAAACTAGGTAGAAAATCTTGTCAATTATCTTGTCATATTTACAATAATTATAAACAATATATCAAACTTTTGATATTCAATCCTAGTTTAGTATTGATGATTATGTATGATAATTTTGAAATAAAGTATAGATTTCCAGTGAATCAATGGCTTTTATACAGACACTAACATAATGCTGTAGAATCTAACTGTACCCGAAGTCATTTTAGATAGCTGGATGTTTAATAATTCACTTGTTTAATTCTATTTTCTTGAATAAATTTCTTTCTATTGAATTTTTAATGAGTAAAATTCAAAATAGAGTATAATTTAGTAAAAAAATTGCATTTTCTTATATGTTATCTAATTATTGGTGTTAAGAAGCCTTTGGAGTATTGTATTATAGAATTTCTGAATTTTTAATAGATATTGTGTATAATTTGAAATTTTAATATGAAAAAATGAAGTTAATATGATACAATTTATTTTAAATTATGAAATCTTCGATATCAATTTCAGTGAGTCATATTGGCAATATAAAATTAAGCATTAAAATCTATACATTGTTTTTGAAGCTAGAAAAACCTTTGGAAATTCTTTTATAGCAGTAAGTACTAGAAGATAAATTGGTTCATTTTATGTAGTTTTTATCATACACTATATCCTTAAAACATTCATGGTTGAAGTGAGGATATAATGACATTGAGGATGTTATTAGATGGATCTCAGGCTATTACAATAGAAATTACTAATTCTTTTTAGGTCAATATATAGTTCTTAGTGTTCAAAGTTATCTTGTAATTAAATTTTAAAAATTTAAATAGTAATCTATAAAATTATATATAATAAATAAATTTTTGGAATTATTATATTTCTTATTATGATTTTTCTGTTACATTCAAAAATTGTTAAATTAATATCACTCAATTATGAATTAAACTATATAAAATTTTAATTTTTTAATAAGATTTGTTTAACTTTCATACTTTTTTTTAATGAAAAAGATACATCTGTATTATATATTTAATTGATAAATTTTTTATAAAATTTTTATTTTAACAATAATTTCAAATGAAAAATTCACACAAAAAACAGTTGTCATCATGAATAATATATTATAAATATCATGAAATTGAAATAAGAGAAGAATATAAATAAAAAATTGGAAATATTTTTTCTGACTTATCATATAAATTTTAAATTCTAAAAATGGGATTGACTTTAAATATGTTATATAAAAAATTATAAACGTATATTAATCATAACAAAATATTTATATAGTAAACTCTCAGTTTAACAGACTAATTAGGAGAAAAGTGTGTTTGCCATTGCTGAAAATCCACTAAATCAAATCTGTTTATAAACATATTAGGTTCGTAATAAATACTTTATATGTGTAAAATGTGTTAAAATGTTGTTTTAAGTATGAATAAAATAATAATATAATGAACAGTGAGTAATTTATACTTACTGACTCATTATTTCAACCTTCTAGATGCTCTGTTCATTAATAAGAAAAAAGGTATTAAACTTTTCCTATAAGACAGGAATTTCTTGTCCATTAAATTAAAGTCTGTGGAATCAGGATCTGTTAAATTGAGGTTTACTGTAATTACTTACAAACTTTTTAATATGATTAATCAAAAATCGATAAAATTTTAGTAAAAATTTTTGCAGTTAAATGTTCTTTCTGAAACATTAATTATGTACAGATTGATGTCTTTTATTATTTATTTATTTTTTACATTTTATGTTTGAGCAGTTCAGTATGCATTACTTATTTGTATGTGTAATTATTTTTTGTTTACTTTTCAGAAATGCATGAGTAATTAGTTTTATTTTTGCTATTAGATCTGCTGTAAGTCCAATTCTTTTTGTTCTAATTTTAAGTCTAGGGAATATAATATATAATATAATAACAAATTTATCAAATGTTTCATTTATAAAACTACTAATTATAAGTTGTGTATATATTGATATATATATATATTTACATTTTAAACTTTTCTGGTACATGTAATTGTTTATGTATTTCTAAAGAAGTAATATTAAAAATTTTATCTTTTCAATGGCATTTTTTAATATAATTATTTTATGACCATATCACTATTTGGTATTTGTAGCAAAATTTACTAAGAAAGCAAAATCAATTCAATTCTATTGATCCATTTTTAATCAAATTCAATAAGACAAATATGTCTCAGTAGAAATTAATTTCAATTAGGTATAATTTGCAAGAACAATGATATCCTTGTATTCTATTTATTTAGCCACTTAAATTTCTTCACAAATTAAGTACAATTTCATTAAGTATCATAACATAAAAATTCCTTTAATAACATATCCAGACAGTTTTAATACTAATTAATCTAATAAAATGTTTAATGAATACTTTAAATGTAGGTTCTGTTGATTTTTTTTTTAATGGAATTGTTAAGTCTTTAACAAAGCTTATATATATATTTTATATAGAATTTTTTGCAGAAAATCAATATGAATTTTTTCCGAGAAAATTTTTATCGTCTTATGGAAAAAAAAAATGCTCCATCTATAGTTTCTCGTATCTGAAATATATTTTTAACACATTCAAAATTAGTTAACTTGAAACAAAAACAACATTCTTATAAAATGTATATATAAAATTTTGACAATGTTTTCTATAAAATTAAAGCAATTTTAAACAGATACATATTTTTAATTATATATAATCCCATTGGATTTAAAGCAAGCCTATCACACAAAATAATCATCAGTACAAATGATACCTTATTATTAATTACAAAGTTAATTTCCACTAATTAAAATTTTATATCCTTTAGCAAATTGAATTAATTTTATACATTTTTACAAATATGTAATTATATGTATGTGAAAAATTAAGACGTTTTTAATGTTATAATGAAATTAAGTTGTTAAATGATTGCTTGATTTCAAAAATGGTATATCATGTATCATGTTAACCTTACGATAGCAAATTTATCCATAATAAATGATTAGCAAAAATAAGAATGATTGCAAATAGATATTTAATAAAAATAAGAATCAATTGTAAATAGATATTTTATGTAAGAGCAACTTATAAAATTGCTCTTATATAAAATATCTCTTTGCAATGATTTTCTTAATTTAATGATTTCTATAATTTTTAAAATAATTTCTTTGAAAGAAGATTTTAAATAAAGCTTTACAATTCTTGAAAATTTCTAGAAAAAAAAAGTACATGTTTTTTTTTAGTAAATTTTAAAAGAAAGTATTTCAGTAGTTCTGGAAATTATTTGTGTGAATGTTAGAAATATTTGTCATTATAGATTGCAAACGTATGTTTCAATTCCTGTTATTTGTTAACCTCATTATTTATTTAGTCTTACTTAATCCATTTTTAAATTAGTTATATAAATTTCAGTAAATTGTAATTATATTAAACAGTTTAATTTCTCAAATTTTTAAGCAAATTTTTGATTTGTCTTGTCTGTTTTTCTGATTGTTCAAATTTTGTTTGTTTTATACATTGTTTTAATATAAAATGTACCTCACTAAATTAAACTAATTGGTGCCTGAATCTGTTCAGATCAGCAAGTATTATGACTTAATCCAAATGTATTTTTTTTAAATGTTAATATGGTGTTTTGCAATAAACTGTAGTTAGATGAGTCTATTGTATTGTCAGGATAACTGACGCTTCTCACTTTCTTGAAAGTTGACAAATTCAGTTTATATTTGGATGTTTTCAACCTGTCTTCTTAAGTATATGATTGTGTAGGAACAAATAGGCTGGAGACTAGCCTTGGTTTTATATTCTACTAATAAATTTTTAGTTTATTTTGAGGTTTTATATGCACTGCCTATTCTGGTCAGCATGAGGAAGCACAAGAGCCATAATTTGTATGGAAGGGAAAGAGTGATTTAGATGTTTACTTTTTTCCTTCTTTTTGGATTAACTTGGATTTTGAATTATCTTGGTTTGTATTAGTGAGGTCCTACTGTATTTGTTAAGATTTTTTTTTTAAGTAACATTGAGAATTTATATTTGAATCATAAATTGAAATATATATTTCTATATTAACAAAACAATCAAAAAAGTTATTATTATTATTATTATTTTTTGCAGTAATATTAATTTAGTAAGATTAATTAATTAATTAATTAATTAAAAAAATTAAATTTATAGGCCTATTTGAGTTTAAAACATAAAACATAACTTATTTTAAAAATATTTAAAAGTATTTTTTAGCATTGTTCCTACAAATCTTCAAAACCAACTTGCGATGTTTTTTAAAATTTTTGCCTTGGAATTTTCTTTCTGATATTGAAGTGATGGTGTTAATTTTATATATCATTTGTATGTGAATATTGGCATATAGCCATAATCTGACTTTTAATAGCTTAAATAAGATTGTATATTTGAATTTATTGTATTATACTACTGATGAAAATAGCAATTATTTGATTGATTAATACATTTTAAAGAAGTGATGATAACTTTGATTAAATAAAATTATTGCCTAATAAATCTTCTTAATAGCTATTCATAATACCAATATGTACAGTACATATTGTTTTAATAAAATCTCAGTGAGCTTTCCAATTGAAAACTGTGGTGTGATAAATCCTTAAAATTTATAGCAAATTCAAAATAGCTATTAAGAAGATTAATTAAAATATAGGACAAAAAGCAAATAATTATAATTATTGCCTAATATTGTCAAAATTCTTATAGCAGCTGCAGCAACAGTATGGAAGAAGGCAATACAACCTGACAGGTGAGGTACCCCAGGAACACTCTTTTATGACAAATTTGCCCCATTTAGACATTATATATATGAAAGAACTTGAAGCTTCATTCAGCCAGCCTATTGGTTAGTAGAAACACAGGATTGTTATTTTACCCAGTGTTGTCATTTTATCCATTTGACCACTAATGGGTATTCAAATAGTTAAATATATCTTTAAGATAGCAGCTGTTCTGTCTAATTCAAGTCAAATTCCAAGATTTAATTAAAAAGTAACTTAATTTTAGTCTGAAAATAATCTAGCTTTTAAAGGTTTAACTTATATTAGATAATTATTATGCTTTACAAATAAAAATTGTAATATTAATGATTATGTTAATTCTTGAACTCTTTAAAATTTGGTTGAAGTGTAACAAGAATCGGATAAACATTGTTAAATGATTAATTTTAAACATTTTGAATTATTAATTCAAAATGTTTAAAAAAATTGCTTGAAAGAACATCTCAGGTTTCTAAGTTTTTTTTATAATTTCCATTTAATTCTCTTTATAACTTATTTTATATTAATTTATAGCTTATTCATATAAATTAATGATTGAATTTTATCAGATTTGTTATAAAAACAATACAGTAATTTATAAATTTATCTTATATAAGATTGTTTATATCTGTGTAATAATTATAATTAGGCCTATTGTATTATATTAATTCTGGCAACAGTACAAGTAGTTCTTAAATATGTAAATCATTCAACTTTCTAAGCAACATCTGAATTTTTTTATAACTTATATCTTTTTTTTTATTTTGAATATTTTTCTTGGCATTATAATTTTTAATTCATAACTTTTTAAACATATTTATATGTTTGCATGAGTTAAATTGCCATTTCTGCTTTTAACGAATTTTGAAAGAATATAATTGTATTGTAGTACTATATAAGTATTATATATTATATATATAAATATTTTTTTTTTAAATACAAATTCCAGCCTATAGTTGAAATTTCAACTGTTGTGATTTTCTGATAATCTTCTATAATTGATTAAAAATAATCTGAAAATAACTGAATTATAATAAGTTGATAATTATTAATCTGTGTAATATTTTATGTTTTCAAATCTGTTGTTAAAATTTGATTCCAAAAATATTGTTTCTGCCATTTACTAAAGATCTATTTTTGCTTAACCATTGTGGAATTTGTATTATTAGCTGAAGAAGAATGCTTTCTAATGTGATGAGATTCTTGTAAATAAAGGGACAACAAATAAATTTGGTCACAACTTAACTTTCCTGCATATTATATTTTTTCATATACAGTATAAATCTGTATATATTGAGTTCTTACATAAAGATGTAAAAATATTTGAATTCTTAAGTTATATTTGAGATAAAAGGAAAAATGAATGAATATTTTATGTTCATAAATATCAATCACATCATCCTAATTTTTCATTTTGAAAGAAATTTGAAATTAATGTTGAAAAAATGTATAAATCTCATTACCTTTGAGAATAAAATCATCGTACATTATTGTTACAATGTTGATGGATGTCAAAAATATAATATAATTTTAACAATCACAATGTTTTTTATTTTTATCCTTATTATCTAGTTTTTCTACTTGCAAATTATTTTCACATTGAATTTCCATTCAATTTACTAGCTTATTTCTATGTCCACTCTTTTATTATTCATTGTTTTTCTAATGCTATCTATCCATCCTTATTGAAGTCATTACTTGGAAATTGTTTTCTGATCTGTAATTACCCATTTCACATATACATATATATGTACACACTTAAGTTATCATAGATTTTAGACTATATCAATAGTGTAATTAAGTTTTTTTTCTATTCATTTCTTTTTAATGTCATTGAATATCTGTTTTTATTTCTGTTATTTCTATTTTTTTATCCTTGCCATTCTTCTAAAGATTTAATGCCCATCACTTTCAGTTTTTTATTATTGTACTCTTATTCAATTTTCTCTCTAAGTTAAAATTTTTTAAAACAGGGCTTGTAATAGCATTGCTTTTTCTCTAAAAAGAATGATTTTTTTTTCAATTGAAATGCTATAAATTTAACCATTCAATTTTATTATTCTATTACTAATCTCATCAGCTAAATTT